ATAACATGACCGTAGAATCGATCATGGTCCACTGAATTCCCTGCAATAATATAATATGCATCAGACTGAATCTTCGATGCCTACGTTTCATTGTTGATACATTTAAAGAATTTCGACTTAAAGCAAAAAAAAAATGAAATTTCAAGAAATTACCAGCATTAATAGCAGCATCGGTTTGAATTGCTCCTCGAATGGCTCTACCATTTGGAGAGGGTATCTCTCGACCCAATCCACTGATAACCTACATTAGTCGAATTATCAATAGGTAGACAATATATCAATTAAACATCTCCATCCAAACACAACAAAGCTCACATTTTTACAAAATTACCCCTGTAGTTAGAGTGTTCTCATATCCATACGGATTTCCGATTGCAAAGCAGCTCTGCCCCACTTGTAATTCACGAGATGTGCCGATTGTAGCTGGCTTTATCTCATTTCCCACAACATCAACCTGTCACAGAGATTTAGATACAAACACACTCAAAAGTCAAAATGTAGTAGCAATAATCGGACACGGTTAAAGCATTTGCAACGGTAAATGCGATACCTTAAGAACAGCCAGGTCATAGTCGGGATCGAAACCGACTATCTTGCCTTCTCTAGTAATACTGTTACCTCCAGAATCAACTAAATATACCTGAAAACACAAAAAAAAACATAATTGTTCGTACTTTTAATAAATAGGAATTAGTAACTGCGTGTTGTAGAACAATTACTACAAACGGAAAACATAACGAGAACCTTACAACGTTGTAAACCGCTCGTATCCGTAGCCAGTTTGGAAATTACATGATAATTAGTTACCTGTCGAGATAAAAAACATATTCTTAAGATTAAATAATTACTCACATGCCAGCAAATCATGCTGTTAAAAATGGGGATATATATATATGTATATATATAATATATACATACAACATGACCAAATTGATCCCAGATAAAACCAGAACCAGTGCCTTCCACTTTTGAATTCTCTTCTTCAGCAACACCATTTCCAGATGTGCTATTATTAGGGTTTTTAGCTAACTCAATGTCTTTGATATAAACAACTGAAGATGATGTTTCCTGCAAGTAAACTAGTTAAAATAATAAAAATAAGCTGCCAATATACCAAAATTGAATCTATAAAAAATGTAATTGCATCATCAATAATAGGTTTTAATTAAATTGCACTTGCAATTTCAATTAAATGTGAAAACCTGGAAGATTTGAACGAGTCGATTTTCGTCTTGATCGAGTTCTTCATCCACTTGTTGGGCAATGGCGGATGGAGAAGTGTGATAAAAATTTGGAATTTGAGAGGTGAGTAAAGAAGCTGTGAAGATGAAGGATTTTCGCCTTGTTAAGAAAACGGCGTCGTTTTGATGTAGAGAAGAAGAGGGGGGAGTTTGATTGGGTGGGATTGGGGATTGTAGACACATGAGAAATCCCAACTTCGCCATTGCTGCTTCTTTGAATCTTCACTTTCTTTACATAATCAAAAATTGAAGAATATATTTATTTATTGAAAGAAAATATATGTGGGAGGTGATAAGACACGTGGCCCACTAAGGCACAAAACAAATGACGTGGTATAAATCAAGTCACAATATTTGAATTTGTTATTAAAATGTTAGATTTATATGATTATAGAAATCAATTTTTATTTAATTGTAACATTTAACAGCTTGTTACAAAATTACAATAGTAATATATTGTCGCTATAATTCTTGTTTATAAATAAATTATGAATATTAAAAACGTAATAAATAACACAAGAAAATGAATACTTACCAACAAAATTTCACTACCTTACCTTAGGTTTACGGTATACATTAATAGGATTTATTAAATACACATATATACTTCAAATGACAAACAATACGTACTCTTCAATCTATCAAAGTAAATTAATATTTGAATTTCGTCGTTGAGAAATACAAAAATGGAAACAAAAAGGAGATTAATCGATCATATCGAACATAACATACCGAACACGAGACGTTAAAAACGATAACAAAAACAAAATTATGGTGATACATTATAGCAAATGTCTTATGATCATGGGCGATTTTGAAGTGCCTGAAGCCTGATCTGCCTGTTAAACCTACGAATGAATTCCTCAACTCGTTTGTTCACTTCTTCATCCGACATTTCCGAATACTCGTTTTCTTCCGAAACCATTTTCTGTACATCAATATCAGCACCTTCACGATTAGGACGATTCACATGCTCGGTAACGACAGTCAACTCTCTCTTCCTTTTCCGATCCAAAAAATCTGCATTATTAATAGGTTTAACTAGTTCCGCGCGCCGATCATCTCTATTTTTGCCGGTTGATAGGATTTTCTCCGGCTTATTTTCTATCATGGATATTATCTTTTCTCGAGGCTCTTCTTCGTCAATAAGTACTTCTTTTACATTATATTTTGGCACTGTTCTCTCGTACCGTGACTCGGAAACTGGAACGGTACTAATACTATTTTTTGCTGGTCTTCTGTTGTGCAGTTTGTCGTCGAATTCATCGTAAAAATTGTGGTGTAATAATTTAGAGGAAGAGAAGGCAGTGAAATCAGCTGCTATGATGAGAATTAGGGTATTTGACATAATAAACCAGAATTTTGTGGTGCAGACAACAACCGAAGGTGAAAGGTTGAAGATGTAGTAGAATACAGATATGTAAATGAAAGTGGTTAGCAAAAAGGCCCAGAAAGATACCATATTCGAATTCTTGGGGTTCTTTTTTAATTTTTCGAAATTCAGGGGCTTCTCTGTGTCATTTGAGTTTGAATATGGCATCGCCATTTCTGGAGAATTTGGGGAGAGATATATAATATATTAGCAACAAGGGAAATAGCTAGGTTGGTGGATTTGCAATTGAAGTGGAAGAGGAGTATTTATATGGGGGGTTTTATTATTATATTGGGGAAAATTATAAATGCATGCACTATTATGAATATTTTCGTAATTATTGTGATAAGTTACCTAATTAATAATAATTGAGCTGACCAAGATACATTCTCACTCTTCCTTCATTATATTCATTTTTTTTTCTTTCAAAAAATAGTCTAATTAAATTCTTAATAATTAATCGGAATCGGTGTTAGATGTTACACATGGTTATTTTTAACGGGTGAATTTCAATCATAGATTTAATTTGATATATAATCACTCACTAAATACACATACACATGGATGTGTGTGTAGATTTATAGTTGAAATTCATCCCGTATAAATATTAATCAGATGTAGCATCTAAGCCGTTTAAATAATGATTTAATTAATGTTGATTTTACATTAATCATGGTAATTAAAGGGTTAAAGAGCAATTAGTTATATGATTATGTAAAGCTTGTAGCTGAATCTTAATCTGTTTTAAAGTGTAGTAATCACGCATGATACTAAAATCCAGGAAGTAAAAATTAAAAAGGACCCCATCTACCAAAAGTCTGCAAGAACATCCTCATCTTATGCACATAATTGTTTTACGTGGGCCCCACATTTAATTTATCTGATTTTCTTGTCTTACAGGTGTACGTATATAAATTCATTTCACAACCCAATTATTTTATGATGTGGCAATCCAATCATACAGCATTGCCCGTTCGATTTACGCCACGTGTGATAGTTGCGGCAAAATATATAGCACATTTAAATCACCGTCTCCGGTCTTCAAATAAAGAACCCTCGTAATGTGGAGATCTTTCTTACGTATAATAAATTAATTAGGATAATAATTAATTATACATGGTTTTTAGTGTAAATCAAGATTTTAATGGTCCAAGCAATATGTGGCAATTGTCTGTTGATAAGTTGTTTATCTTACGTATTTAGATTAGCTAATATTTTTTTATAATCATCTATGTTTAGGTAGCCGAATTCTCTATGAAAACGCCAAACAATTATTAATTTATTACAGTGAAAAGGAAATGAATAATTATTATATATAAATAATTCGTTCGGTGAGTTTTTAATTTTTATGGGCTAGTTTCTCTAAAAAAAACTGAATTATAGAAACAATTGTTAAAAGAAACTAATATCCCATTAAACATTCTTTGAAGGTTAGTTGGGCTTATTTACTATCGGGCTTGGGCCCAAAAATTGGTCATGACCAATTCTTATTACTATCGTCTTGTAAATGTATTGTTATTGAATAATATGGATAAATTACAACCGACCCTTGAGCTAATGTCAAATTCCGAAAAAGTACTTCGTGTTTGGGTAATTGTACTATGAATCTTCTGACACGTCCACTCTTATGGTGCTAAATTCAACATACTCTTTTAAGATTCCGTGAAATGTTCTTTAGTTTGCGCTCGTTTTGTGCAAAAACGCAGTTTCTGATGCACGACAATTTGATAAATACAAGTCAAAAAACACATCTAATGGTCATCTTGTTTCAAAATGTAGAGCTCGAATTGGATAAAACGGGCACAAGAAACTTTAGAGTATTCCATACAATCTAGATAATTCTACTAAATTTGGCACTGCAAGAATATTCATAGTTGAGGGAAGTGATTGTAATTAACCAAACAAAAAGGAAGTTTTTGTAATTTGACCCTAACCCAAGATTCACCGTGACTTACCCATAATATTATTAATATATATATATATATATATATATATATATATATATATATATATTTACAGTAATTAATAAAATTGAAAATCGAAATTAGAAAAAGACAATAATGTTAATGTATTCATTGTTTAGAGGAACAAGGGTAACGGCAGATATGATAAGATGTTGCGGTTCAGTAAAACCTGGACATAGGCATGTCTGTTTCAACTTTCATTACAACTCCTCAAATTAAAAACCAGCGCCACGTCCCATCATATTACCACACACTCTTTTTGAATTATCAACTTTCATTTTTGACTGTCCTGACAATTTTTTCATTTTTGAATTATCATTTTTTTTATTATTTTATATATATAAAAAAAAACATAAATAGCAACTGTGTTCCCTCACAGCATCTCATCCATTTGCATGCTACCCTATGCCATCACACTCACACTTCCTAATATGGTAAACAACGTCCCTATCTTAGGGTTTCCCATCACTTTCTCTCTTACATATATACATACAACACACACACACACATATATATATATATATATATATCACATGTGTGTATGTATATAATATGTGATTCAGAAACCACACACATATACACAGTTTTAGTTTAGAGCGAGAACAATGGCTTTTGTGTCTCTTCTTATTTTAGGGTTTCTTGTTTTTTGGGCAGGTAACGGTGTGATGTGTTCCGGCGGCGGCGGCGGCGGTGGTGGGGTGGATATGGATATGGAAGAGGAGGAGCTGTTTGGGCTATTTGAAGTGATGGGCTCACTTTTGGAAGACCCCACGTGGGCTCAAATGCATCCATTGCCATGCACTGAAACACCATGGCCAGGTGTTGAGTGTGAGCTTCTTGACGAAGACGACGACGAAACCTCAATATTTCATGTCACAAAGATTCATGTGGGCCCAGATAATGTTTGCAAACCTTCCGCCAAAATCTCGCACTCTCTCCTCAAATTGCCTTACCTAAAAACTCTTTCTTTAATGAACTGTTTCACTAACTCACCCATTTTTCTGTCAAAATCCCTCTTTGGATCTCTCTCTAATTTCTTGGAGCATTTAGCCCTAGAATCAAATCCCAGCCTTTTCGGAGAAATCCCCAACACAATTTCAAATCTTACAAATCTGAAAGTATTACGTTTGTCGCAGAACAATCTGAGCGGAGAAATCCCTAAAGAAATCAAATCCCTTGTCAATTTGCAGCAGCTGGATCTCAGCCACAACAATTTCACCGGCCCAATTCCTGAAGAAATTGGTGCCCTAGAAAAATTAGCGATTCTTGATTTAAGCTGGAATTCGTTGCAGCAAGTGATTCCCGCTTCAATTGGTGGGCTGGAGTTTCTCGAAAAGATCGATTTAAGCAGCAACGAAATCCAAGGGCAACTGCCGCGGAATTTGGGGAGATTAAGGAGGTTGGTTCTGTTGGATTTGAGCCGTAATAATTTGACCGGTCCAATCCCTGAAACCCTAGCCGGTCTGCAGCAACTGCAGTACTTAATAATGGAGGACAACCCATTAAATGCAGGCATCACTTCATTTATTGGGTCACTAGTCAAACTCAGTGTGTTGACCTTTTCCGGGTGCGGATTGACCGGTCAGATTCCGACAACGCTGTCGAATTTGACGGGCTTAATTGCACTGTCACTCGACAACAATCGCCTAAAGGGCACCGTTCCATCGGAATTAGGCGCGCTGCCGAGTATCGACATGCTGAATCTGAGCAGAAATCGGCTTAGTGGAGAGCTATTATTTTCTCGAGATTTCTTGATTAGGCTCGGGGAGAGGCTTGATATTCGAGATAATGACGGTTTATGCACTAATTATCGAGAGGCGGAGAGTAATACAAGCTTATCGAGATTCTTGCAGAACCCTAGTTGTACTAGTAGTGCAATGTTTCCTGCAGCAAGCAACAAAACTACGGCGGAGAAAAACCCGGACCGGGCCGAGAATCTGAAACCGAAGTTGTACGACGGAATTTCAAATGGCGGATCGAAAATTTGTCCTTTTTACTGTCAAAATTATATTCTTGTTATTGTTGTTTGGCTTGTGAGTATATGATTTTTTCTTGGATTGTAATATTTTGGATTCTGAGCAATTTGTTTTTTGTTTTGTTTTTTTTTTTCTGGTAAATTAAATTATGACATAGTAGTCACTTAGGCCTAAAATGCTGGTTCTTGCTTGGGGCATTTTATTGTACATCATCAGTAAGCAATAAGTCTTGTAAACATGAAATTGTGTAACGGATGTGGAAGTTAGGTGAAAAAAGGACAAAATATTTATATATTTTTATGCAATTGATTTAATTTTATGTTGTTTTATGCATTTGTCTTTGTTGGTCTGACTCAAGAATGAGTTATATATTTAAAATTTTAAGGCTGTTGGTTGAGTCCCATCACAGATTGTTTACTTTGTTGGGCAGCAAATGTCGTATTCACAAGCATTTATTGTGGATGTAGGTAGAGAAATCCAAAAAGGAAACAGAAAACAAAAAAATAAATAAATAAATAAATAATGTTGGGCCTAGCCTCATCTTAAAAGCCCAATAAATTTAGATTGGATATTGAGCCCAATATAAGAAATTATGATGGGCCCATTAGTAGGAGGTGTGGGCGAGCATTAAAGATTACCCGTTTATAATATAATAAATAATAGATAATAGCAAATTGATTAGAGTACGGTGAATATCCAAGTGGGGCTATAAATAAATAATTAAATTGCAGAAATCCGCATTTCTAGGTATTTCAAGTTGGGCTGTATCTGCTCCGAATTCTTGGACATGGGCTGCTACAGTATAGTTGTTTTCGTACAGCAATATAGTTGTTTTTGCACAACAATATTATTGTTTTCATTACTTTTTAGTTTGTTTGAATAAATAGTTCATTTAACAAATAGTTGTTTTGGAGACGTTTTAATTAAATAATTAGTTAATCTTACAATGGAAATAATATAATATATAATTAATTTAATAAATTGTGAAACTGATGTATCATTGTTTTAATACCAATTGTTTTAATAATAGTCGTTTTATAATAGTCGTTTTAATAATAGTCGTTTTATTGGCATATAGTTGTTTTAACTGAAAACTAAAATAATATAGAAAATGAATATTTAAAGAAAAATATTAAAAAAAATATAAAAAAAAGTTTTTTTTAAAAAAATATTATTTTTTAAAGAAGAAATAAATAAAAAAACGAAAATTAAAATTAAAATATAAAAAATAAAAAAATATATCAAACTAGTGGGATAATGAGTAGTGAATAGTGAGAGGGTAAATTTGAGAATACAAAAAGAATGGGTTTCTCACTAATAAAGAAAAATGAGCTGCTCATATATCATATTACACTGTATTTTTCTTTCCTCGTATTTACTATTCTTCTTTGTTTCTGCTTGTCAATTGCGCATCATCTTCACTCTCTTTATTCTCGATTCCTGAAGAACTTTGGCCGCTCAGCAGGTTTGTACCACTCGCTTTGTTTCTGGTACTTCTAAATTATTATTTTAACTAATGGGATAATTTTTCAATATATTTTTTTTGTTCCGAATCTTTTGGTGATGTGTTCATCATGTAATAAGCTGATTTCTCCGTTTAGCCGATTCCATGTTTCGATCTGTCGTTCCTTTTTCGTGGTGTTTGCCTTTTTCCCCCAATATTCACGTGATTGATTATAACCAGAGTAGGCGTCAACTTTATCGGAGCTCTGGGTGGGTGGTGAACACGGGTCATTTGTACCCGCTCCACTTTCCTAAATACAAATTGATCCGGATCGTTATTGATTTTTTTAGGGCGTAATTTTATCTCTGTTCGTAAGAAAGGGGTTTGATTTTTCTACAACGTTTGCTGAAATTGTAAAATTTGCCAAAACATTTGTTTCGGTCAATAAGTTGATGCTGTTCCATTGTTTCTGAATTGAAGCTGAAAATGGATTCGGAGAAAATCGAAAGCATCACAAATGTAATGGAGTATGAGGCAATTGCAAAGGAGAAATTGCCGAAGATGGTTTACGATTATTATGCATCTGGGGCAGAGGATCAGTGGACTCTCCACGAGAATCGAAACGCCTTTTCTCGTATATTGTAATAATCTCTCGATCTTCTTAATCACATTTTTACCACTCATTCAGATTTAAGATTTGTTCAAAGCAGAGTGTATTTTATTTTTACTAAAATTTTGTCATCGACACAGATTTCGGCCTCGTATTTTAGTTGATGTTAGTAACATTGATATAACCACAACAATTATGGGTTACAAGATCTCAATGCCTATCATGGTTGCTCCAACTGCTATGCAGAAAATGGCACACCCTGAAGGTACACACACACACACACACACACACACACACACACACACACACACACACACACACACACACACAGCTTGTCCGAAACTTTTCCATTTATCCTATGTTGATAAATATTGATGCCCCTATGAATTATATGTATGTGAGTCATATAGTTGAATCTTTGTCTGAAGTTATAAGCTACTTTTGTATTACAGGAGAGTTTGCCACTGCGAGGGCTGCATCAGCTGCTGGCACAATCATGGTTCCAATTTTTTTTTTATGTCCTTTTTGTTTATTTATTTATTTACTGATTGTGATTGCTAACTTTAATTGATATACTAATGATGATTGCCGATTGATTGGTTATAGACATTATCTTCATGGGGTACATCGAGTGTTGAAGAGGTTGCCTCAACTGGACCAGGCACTCGATTCTTCCAGCTCTACGTGAGTTAAGAGTTTTTTTTTTTCATCTTTATCGCCATTTACTACTTCTTGATTTGGTCAACAGATCCTGATTAAATTTCTTTGTTTTCGATTTTTTGTAGGTTTTCAAAGATAGAAATGTCGTTAAACAGCTAGTGAGAAGGGCTGAGAAAGCTGGTTTCAAGGCAATTGCCCTTACGGTTGATACTCCGAGACTAGGGCGAAGGGAAGCTGATATCAAGAACAGGTATGTTTTTTTTGGAAATATTTTTTTTGTTCTTCGTATTTTAATGGCGAACTAAAGCAACTAGTTATCGTACAACAGGTTTGCCTTGCCTTCCAACTTGACACTTAAGAATTTCGAGGGCTTGGATCTTGGCACTATAGACAAGGTGAATAAACTTCCGTAAAATGCTTCATATAAGTATTTTTATTCTTTCATAATCCTTTTTACAATTTTTTTTTTAACGATGACTGCAGACAAATGACTCAGGGCTTGCTTCATATGTTGCTGGTCAAGTTGACCGATCCCTTAACTGGGAGGTTAATGCTTCTTCTTTCTTCTCATGAAATTCTTAAAAGCTATATCTGAAAAATTATACAAGTTGAATTTACTTCCCTTTTTACTCGAAATAGGATGTGAAGTGGCTTCAGACAATCACTAAATTACCGATTCTAGTGAAGGGAGTGTTAACGGCCGAGGACGGTAGGCCCCACTACTTAATTAGCATAAATTAATCAAGTATTTCTTTATCTTATTTTATTCACTAAACTCAATAATGATTTTATTTTATCCGCTTAATTTTATTGAATTATAAGCAAAACTGTCCGTACAAGCTGGAGCAGCAGGAATAATCGTGTCCAATCACGGTGCTCGACAGCTTGACTATGTTCCTGCAACGATAATGGCCTTGGAAGAGGTCTTATTATCAAAAATTTCCCCACTATTAATTATCAAATTAATCTTCAATAAATGCTTCTTAATTTTCCAACAATTGACATAAAAAACAATCCAGGTTGTGAAAGCTGCAGAGGGTAAAGTTCCAGTGTTTCTCGACGGTGGGATTAGGCGTGGAACTGATGTGTTTAAAGCATTAGCACTCGGAGCATCTGGCGTATTTGTAAGTACATATATATACACATATAAAACTAATCATTAAGTTTTCTTCACATGTTATCCTAATAGAGAATTAGCCTAAGTCATATATGTAATCTATGTTGTATGCACACGTGTCGGATAAAGATTGGACGGCCGGTAATTTACGGATTAGCAGCTGATGGTGAAAGGGGTGTAAGGAAAGTACTTCAAATGCTTCACGATGAGTTCGAACTGACTATGGCATTGAGTGGTTGTCGGTCGATTAAGGAAATTACGCGTGCACACATTACGACGCCTTGGGATGGCCCACGTGTGTCGCCCCGTTTGTAGATGTGGTCCCCACCTCAAAAGCAGGACAAGATTGGTGAGAAGGTCCATGTTTTATTTATTTTAAAACATTATTGGCTGGCTTAATTAACATTAACATGCCTACATTAAGAAAGTGAATTGTGATGTTAATGTTCTACTTTGCATTTCCATATGGGGATTAAGAATAATGTTTCTGTCACCAATTCTTTGTCTAACTCCATCATTGATTAGAGCAAAAAATGCAATGATTATGTGAAGTCAAAAATATTAAGGCTTTGTTTGGTTGCCATCATACACATGGATGCGTGTGTGATTATGTGTAGATCAACGGTTGAAATCCACCCAACATAAATAACCAGGTGTAACATCTAAATTACCCGTACAATTGTATAGTTGAGCCAAAGGAATGTCTTCTTGTCCAATACACAGGTTTCTAATAAATCAAGATTGGTGAAAATATAATTCATACCAAGGACTGTAATTTACACCACTGACTGAACTACAGCATTAAAGAATAATAAAAAAAAAAAAAAGGATTCTCTCTAACATAAATAATTTTCTTGCTGATGAGAAATATATATTAGAAGGGAAAAAAAAAAAAGAGTATTAAATAGTAATAATAAGGTAATAAAATTCTATTTGTGAAGGGTAGTAATAGGGTAAGGGGAGGTGCACTGGAGCCTAGTCTTCCTCTTCTCAAGGAATCTTTGCAGTGATCTCTTCATAGAAAGACCACTTGTTGGTATTGCACTTCTTTTTTCATCTTCCATTTCTCCACTTGCTAACAATATTATTGCTCTGGCCTGCTTCATTTTTTTTTCACAACATATATTTTTGAATAATTAATAAATATGTAGCCTAAATTTATGGGAGCTTGATTTTTAATTAGGACCATGTACCTGAAATTCAGTGACATCAGAAGCAGCAATTCTTCCATTGTAGAAAACAGTCAGCTGATGCTGCTTCTGCTTCTGGTTTGGACTCTGATCATCTTCCATATTCAACCTTTTTCAAATTATTACAACACATAACACAATTAGCCAAGAGAGAGAGAGAGAGAGAGAGAGAGAGAGAGAGAGAGAGAGAGAGAGAGAGAGAGAGAGAGAGAGTGTTACATATTGTAGAACTGGTAGCTATGTTCGTGAGCAGATGAATCGGAAAAGACAGAAGGCATCGTTACAAGAGGAAGCTCCAAATTACAGTTTCTTTTCATCTTGTTCTCGTTATAAATATCTGAAATATATATACACACATATGTATATATAATGGATCTTTTTTTCGTTTGAGAGAGAGAGAGAATGAGAAGTTGATTATATATAAATCTTGATTTATGGGGTGGGGTAGTGGTGGAGGTTGAGTTTGAAGTGAAGCAGCTGTCGCCTGTCGTTGTTGTACTAAGTTAAGTTGAACACGCTAACCAGTTAACCACACATTTTCCACATTTAATAACCAAATAAGAGACAAGGCTGAAAAGGACAGACACACACATAAACAGTACGGAAAAACGTGACTGAATTTATTTGTGTCACGTGTAAAATGAGTTTTGTCTTCTGCAGCTTGTAAATGGGTCTTTAAATCGGTTTTGGTTGCACACCTCCGCATTCATAATGTAGGCTGTACGAATACTACTAACCCACTTGTTTGTTGCTTATTCGTCTGAGTTTTTCAACTGTTTTTTTCAAGAATCGAATTTTCTGGTGCTTTCTTAAGATTTCTAATCTCACATGTTTAATACATAATAAATATATATTTGTATGTCGACATTAATTATTAATAACCAAAATCTCATTTAAATTCAATAGGTTAGCAATTGTCAAACTTTTTAGCTCTATCCCAATCTCCAATTCAATTGACACGTGTCTAAACAGCATCTACAAGATTCAACCACTACTTTGATAAGCCACGTCGTAGCATGCGAACCATCCGACCTAACCGGCGCTACTTGGACTAGTTAGGATCGTGGCTCATGGGTCTCTATAATAGCTTCCTTATTAATAGCTTCTTTATTATTATAATTCCTAGTTATTATATTTTTATAGTATTTTAGTTAAGTTAGTCTTCTTTAATTATTAGGATTAGAATTATTCCTTGATTAGTTTACGTAGCTTTAGGATTGTCTTTCTTTTCTTTTCTATATATTTCAACCAACGTGATAAACAGAAGCACGTCGAATAAATAAAGTTTTCTCTAGTTTTTCTTGCAATTCTTGCGTAGAAAATCTCGGTACCAAAGCGATCGCATCAATTGGTATCAAGAGCGAGGTTGCGATAACATCAACGCTCCGCTACGGTCATGGCAACAAATAAGGAAAGATTTGATAGATTGGAAGGCTCCGTTGATAGATTGGAAGGCTCCGTGCAAGAGATCCAGACTTCTATGCAACAGATGCAAAGGATGCTTGAACGAGGGCAAGATCGACAAAACCCATGGGGGAGAAGAAACGAGCCGTCGCCGCCACCATCGGACGACTCGTCGGGCAGCGACAGCCAAGATAGCCGCATGTCGAACAATTCGATTAGGAGTCGAGCTTCGAACAACGGAAAACATGGAAGGCGACACCACCAGGTTAGAATGGATTTTACAAAATTTGATGGTGAAGAGCCGAGGGTATGGCTCAATCGGGCGAAGCAATTTTTCTTGGCTAATGACTTACATGGCCATCGTAAAGTAGTGCTGGCTTCGTATCATCTAGAAGGAGATGCCAATCAATGGTGGCAGTGGTTCGAAAGGGCGAATCAAGGTCGTAAAATATCGTGGAGGCAATTCGAGAAAGGGATACTATTGCGTTTTGGCCACGGCAATTACGAGGACCCCAATGAGTCCATGTGTCGTTTAAGACAGAAGGGAGGATTCAAAGAATTCTTAGGAGAGTTCGAGAAGCTCATGAATTGTCTACCAGATTGGCCCGAAGAGGCACTTATGGGAGCTTTCATGGCAGGTCTCCGTGAAGATATTGCGGGGGACGTTCGTCTGTTCAAACCTAAGGATCTACAGACTGCTATGGAGCTAGCAAAACGCAAGGACGAGCAGCTGCAATTCGGGAAAAGAAGTGCAGGCCAAACAAGGACCACGAATTCCACAAACTCCAAATTCGTGAACCCGAACCCGGCAACCAACACTCGTCAATTGGTCGCTGATGGAGCAAAGCGTCTGACCTGGGAAGAATTGCAACGTCGTAGGGAACAAAACCTATGTTATCATTGTGATGAGAAGTTTGTAAGAGGGCACCAGTGTAAAAAAGCACAAGCTTTAATAATCGAAGCGGAAGATCAGGGCGACGATGAAGCAGTTGACTTTGATGAGCCGCAACAAATTTCGTTGCATGCGATTGGAGGAGAGTCGGGAAAGAAAGCCATGAGAGTAAGTGGAAAGCTTGAGAATTCACCGGTCGAAATGTTGGTGGATAACGGGTCCAGTCTCAACTTCATCAACCCGGAATTAGCTCAACGACTACGATTGAACGTTAAACCGATTAAGCC